TGTGGATGTGTATGTGTCTATGCATGTGCATGAGTATGTATGTGCACTTTTGTATGTATGTGCACTTTTGTATGTATATACACTTGTGGATGCATATGCTGTGGATGCATGTGCACATGTGGATGCATGTGCACATGTGGATGCATGTGCACATGTGGATGCATGTGCACATGTGGATGCATGTGCACTTGTGTTGCATGTGCACATGTGGATGCATGTGCACTTGTGTATGCATGTGCACTTGTGTATGCATGTGCACTTGTGTATGCATGTGCTTGTGTATGCATGTGCACTTGTGTATGCATGTGCACTTGTGTATGCATGTGCACTTGTGTATGCATGTGCACTTGTGTATGCATGTGCACTTGTGTATGCATGTGCACTTGTTATGCATGTGCACTTGTGTATGCATGTGCACTTGTGTATGCATGTGCACTTGTGTATGCATGTGCACTTGTGTATGCATGTGCACTTGTGTATGCATGTGCACTTGTGTATGCATGTGCACGTTGTTATGCATGTGCACTTGTGTATGCATGTGCACTTGTGTATGCATGTGCACTTGTGTATGCATGTGCACTTGTGTATGCATGTGCACTTGTGTATGCATGTGCACTTGTGTATGTATGTGCACTTGTGTATGCATGTGCACTTGTGTATGCATGTGCACTTGTGGATGCATGTGCACTTGTGGATGCATGTGCACTTGTGGATGCATGTGCACTTGTGGATGCATGTGCACTTGTGTATGCATGTGCATTGTGTATCATGTGCACTTGTGATATGCATGTGCACTTGTGTATGCATGTGCACTTGTGTATGCATGTGCACTTGTGTATGCATGTGCACTGTGTATGCATGTGCACTGTGTATGCATGTGCACTTGTGTATGCATGTGCACTTGTGTATGCATGTGCACTTGTGTATGCATGTCACTTGTATATGCATGTGCACTTGTGTATGCATGTGCACTTGTGTATCATGCATGCACTTGTGTATGCATGTGCACTTGTGTATGCATGTGCATTGTGTATGCATGTGCACTTGTGTATGTGTGCACTTTGTATGCATGTGCACTTGTGTATGCATGTGCACTTGTGTATGCATGTGCACTTGTGTATGCATGTGCACTTGTGTATGCATGTGCACTTGTGTATGTATGTGCACTTGCGTATGTATGTGCACTTGCACATGTGTGCATGCATGTGTATGTATGTATGCTTGTATATGTATGTATGCTTGTGTATGTATGTATGTTTGTGTATGTGTGTGTGCTTGTGTGTGTGTCCTTGTGTATGTGTGTGTACTTTTATGTATTTGTTTGTGTTTGTGTATGTGTGTGTTTTGTACATGTGTTTGTGTGTTTGTACATGTGTGTGTGTTTGTACATGTGTGTGTGTTTGTACATGTTGTGTGTTTGTACATGTGTGTGTGTTTGATACATGTGTGTGTGTTTGTACATGTGTGTGTGTTTGTACATGTGTGTGTGTTTGTACATGTGTGTGTGTTGTACATGTGTGTGTGTTTGTAATGTGTGTGTGTTTGTACATGTGTGTGTGTTTGTACATGTGTGTGTGTTTGTACATGTGTGTGTGTTTGTACATGTGTGTGTGTTTGTACATGTGTGTGTTTTGTACATGTGTGTGTGTTTGTACATGTGTGTGTGTTTTGTACATGTGTGTGTGTTTGTACATTGTGGTGTGTTTGTACATGTGTGTGTGTTTGTACATGTTGTGTGTTTGTACATGTGTGTGTGTTTGTACATGTGTGTGTGTTTGTACATGTGTGTGTGTTTGTACATGTGTGTGTGTTTGTACATGTGTGTGTGTTTGTACATGTGTGTGTGTTTGTACATGTGTGTGTGTTTGTACATGTGTGTGTGTTTGTACATGTGTGTGTGTTTGTATATGTGTGTGTGTTTGTACATGTGTGTGTTTGTACATGTGTGTGTTTGTAAATAAATACATCAACAATCAGCATTCACAAATAACAATCAATTTAAGTAGAAAAGTCTCATTATGCTTTCTCATTTTGCACTACTAACACAAGTATATCAGGCTAAGATGATAATGTTCCAAAATAAACAAATAAATATTGCATCTGCATACTGGTTCACTATGAAGGATTTTCCAATATTTTAAAATATCTTTCGGAATCATACACTTTCAGAAAATGATGTTTAGATATATTTAAGGGAAGAGGGAGGGAGAGACAAGTCAGAACTCTATAATATGGAAATTTGCAGCGGAACTTTGCCATACGATAGGTTCACGTTATCCAAAAAATTTTTTTTAGATCATCATGATCTTGTAAATTTCATATTAAATATTGAACAGATTCTTTTGCTACTAATACTTTCTAAAAATTTTCTAACCCTTCCAAAACAAACAATAAAAAAAGAACACCCAAGCTTTAACTTTCATCCCATCCTATCCATCCCAATGCCAGAGAAATCTATAGACTCACCTTGCCAGTTAGCCTATAGCATTCTGGGGTGTCAAAGGGCAGATTGACACGGAGCTTGATGGTACGCAGCTGGAAAGTGAAGTCTGTGTTGAGGAGCAGGTCGAAGTTGAAGGTGAAGTTGTTCTTCTCCATGAACTCCTTTGTGGACCAGTCAGTCGCATTGGCCTCTGAGGGTGGGATCTCTATGCATGCTGAGAGGTAGAAAAATAAAGAGTAACTACAACACTAGTGATGGGTACTGTGTTATTCTGTCAAGGCAAACAATCACAGACATTAGGTGACACCTTTTATATCATGAGTTAATGTCCCATTCACTGGGATGAGGTCTTACATGCTTGACCATTAACTGGATAACTGCTTCAGCATGGACCAGCACACAATAGACTTTACTAAAAATGTTTTTCACAAACACTGCTACTCACACTGGGTGACATCATTATCCAGAATATATGTTTGTTGTCAATAAAGGCTTCACCTTTCTTGTAGTGCGACACACACAGAACTGGAGGGACTACAGTTCCATTTTTGTGTTCATAGGTGTAGGTGCCAATAGCTGTCTCTCTGATGTGAGCATACTGTAATTCAAAAAGTAATTAAGTCAATAAAACAAACAAAACAAAAATTTGATTTCAATTTCTTTGTATAAGCAGAAGTAACTAAAATTTACTCTACATTCACTTCATTCATAATATCTCACAAGCAACACAATCTTCACAGTTTTTTATTTGCCTGCACACGACCACCTGCAACTCATCCATCGCCAGTAACACATAATTACTCTTATTCAACTCTTACCGTCGTAACTGCATAATCCAAATATTCAAAGAATGACGCCTTCTTATAGACTGCTAGGGGGCCGTCAGCAGGGGGATACACCTGTATCTCACGCGTTGTGTCCCACCCTTTGATGAACAGATGTGAGAAGGAGATCTTGGTGTCCCACAAATAGTTGACATGGTTGTACCTGCTTGGGCAAACAGGCACAACTGGGGGAAGGATGAGGAAAGTTTTCTTTTAACATACCTCTTTGCTACTCATTTCTTAAGAATATCAAACAATTTTAAAATTACTTTTAAACCAGTTTTATACAACAAACACTCAGAAAAAGTACATGTCCAACCACCTTGCTGTCTACATAAATAAAAAACATCAAGTAATGCCTCAATCATAGTACATTCCACCTTATTTATTGATGGGGATAATGCAAAAGCCCCTTCCTAATGCCACTGAGTCTAATCACTCTCCAAGAACTTTGTGAACTTGTGGCAAGTCATTCCTGTTACCCTGGCCTTCAGCTGAAATCCTCATGATAAGTTTGCATCACCCCAGCCACAGTCAAATTTGCCATGACAGCAAGTTCACGTTACCAGCCCCTATAGCTGAATTTTTTCATGACATGATGGTCATGTCATCCAGTTCATAAGGGTTAACACTGGGAATGTCTAATTGGTAGCTGGTTAGCTGGAGAGTTTATATGTCAACAAGTGTGTCTACATTATAATAACCTGTTTACTAAACAATAAGTGTGGAGTAAATCATCCAAAAAAATATGCTACTGTGTATCCAATATCAAAGCTTAATTTGTCAAAAGGTCTACATGTTCTTCTACAAATCTGCAACGCAGGTCAACCAATCCATAAATTCATTTATCTGTTTATCATTCAGCTTAACTCTACAGTAAAAAGTCTCTTCATGGCAGATCTGTGAACGACTGCTTCCACCAGCCACCTATCCCCACCCCTTCACAGTTCCTAACGAGCTCTCTCTCCACCCAATATGGGTTCCTCACCTGTGCTGTCACTACACAATCTTGAACACTTGCAGCAACAACTTCCAGGGAAACTACGCCGTGCATGCCACTTCTCCATGGGGTTCATGAAGAAGAATCTGGAAAGTTTAGAAAAATTATTACTTGATCACTTGTTCATTGATTTCCTTATTCTCTCACTGACTTCCACATTCATGTCCTTATTTACTCACTCATCTACTCAGTCACTCATTATCCTTCTTGTCCCACTCACGGATATACTACTAGGCTTCCTCTCTTCCGTCTTTACTTGCCACTCACACCATCCTCCTCTTCCATTCTTTTATCTTTGCTCATCTTCCTTCTTCATATGGCCCTTGTAATTCAATTTTAAAATATACACTAACAGAAAATACATGTGAAATAACAAACAAAGACAAATTTAAAAAGTGATCAAGAGAATATCTACTACAAAAAAGGCAAATAAAAAAGTACATAAAATAGATAGAGAGAGCAGTAACAACAACAAACATGACCCAAGACCAATCCACTCACTTGAGCCTTCTGCGTATTCTGTCAGCTGTGATCGTGTGGGCAAAGACACCCCTTGCTGTATTAGAGTTGGAGGAGTCGTTGAGGGGGTTATATTCAGTGCCAGCACCGAGGCTGCCAAGGGTCGAGGATACTGAGCCATAGCGAGTTCCACCATTACTCTCCGCACCTGAGACTTTGATCTCCGGGGGTGGCTGGCTGTAGACCTGCGCCATCCGCTCCAATTCTGAGGGTTTGAATAGGTTGAGAATGTGCTCTTTGGGAAAAAAAAAAGGTAATGCAGTCATTCTTGCTTCTCGAGTTCTGTAAATAGCAGCACTGGTTGCTATTTTGCTCATCTGAACCTAAGAAATTGGTATCCCCCAAATTCATTAATAGCCTTAAAAGTTAAAAGAGACTAAAATGTCTCTTCTAACTTTTAACTCCTTGGTGATGGCGATGGCTACAGTTGTCATGATGTACCAGCCTATGACATATAAATGCATCATGACTAGCAGCAGTTGGGCCTGCTGTTCATGGCTTAGGCTAAGTTCCAAAGTCTAGACTTGTGTAATATTACATCACAAACAAATCTGTCCTTGTCACCATAGGGCTAATGGTTGAAATTTCAGTATTCATACAAAGTACTTTAAAAATTAAAAGTAATTAAAAGAAGATAAATCATTTTTTAAACGTTTGTGAAAAGTACTTTTAGAATCACTATCATTATCTTAAAACTCCAGAAAAAAAAATGCTCAAGGTACTTTTCAAGCAGCTAAAAATCAAAATTAATGCAAATAAAATATCAACTCCAGTCAAGATTTCTGGTGCCATAGCATTAAAACAACACCAAAATCATAATAAATTAGTGTGAAATTTTCTATCTTTCCCATCAACTTAACATAGCTAAATACAGTGTGTAAAAATTACTGAAAATGTCACAATATATACAGGCTAATTTACACACAATACAAAATCCATAAATAGAATGTTGAACACATTTAGACAGAATGATTCTTAACATAAATAAACTGACCAAAAAACTTCAACTTTAGGGGGGATCCACTCCCATGTCCCAACATGCCCATATAACAAAAGAGAAATATTCTAGAGACAAACACAGACAAACATACATATGCTATTTTTCTTTTGACACCACCCGAAAGCACAAAAAGGACAACAACAAATGAGCACTGGCTTGTCTACATCTTTTTCTGAATGTGTATATAATTCATTTCATTTATCTACTTTGTAACTGATCTACCTACGGTTGCTGCCAATATTTCAAACTTTATCTACTTTCTGAAATGCTAGCATTCACAAGCTAATATCAGGTTGCATAATCAGATGCATATTTGAGAAGAAATACACACCCAAATAAACAAATAATAAAAACTCAAAAACAAAAGAATTCAAGAAATAAACTTGAAAACCATAAAAAAAAAAAAAACAGCAGCAATCCAAACCATAAAGGAAAAAGAATTCATGAAGCATACGAAACTTCATTTTATCCAATATGATTGCCAAAAATCAAGTAATTGACTAGTAACTGATGCCTTGATGACTACGCACTTGTGAAGCCATCTGTGTGGGATCATAATAAACAATCCGAAATCAAAAAGTGTCATGTCACGTATATCCACGCCTGCCGTCCTCAATGGCAACAGGTTAATCCACCTCCTTTACTAATTGTCTCTTTCCTCTACTTCATCTGATTACATTCTTCCTCTTATTTTCCCTTCCACCTTTGTCCCTTCAATCTTATCCTTTCCACTACTCTGTATTTATACAAAGGAGAACAAATGCTTCAAAAGTGAGAATGATTTGCCTTTTAAATCGCAATCTTTAACAGAGCAATATTTCTGATAAATCATTTTATTAATTTGATTCCACTTTCAGCATTAGATTTGAACAATGAATCACCTTTGAGGATGAGACAGAATCTAACATCAAACCAAGTATAGAACAGCATACAATTACCACAGTATCAAAATACCCAACTCGGAGAAAGCTCTTCAACCTCTTGAGGAAATAAGGTAAAATTATTTGGAAAAAAACAAAAAAAAACACCTACTTTTCTTCACATTTTAGAAAGACTATTGGAGAGCTTAACAAACAGCAAAATCAGTATCGTACAGCTGTTCTGATAAAAGCTGTGATAACAATCTCCCCTCACATGATATGGGAAGTACTAGTGGTAAACCAAGTGGAGATAATAGAGAGGGAGGAGAGATGGAGAATGGGATAGTAGTAGTAGTAGAAGGAGGAGGAGGAGGAGGAGGAGGAGGAGGAGGAGGAGGAGGAGGAGGAGGAGGAGGAGGAGGAGGAGGAGGAGGAGGAGGAGGAGGAGAAATAGGAGGAGAAATAGGAGGAGAAATAGGAGGAGGAAGAGGAGAAATAAGAAAAATAGGAGGAAGAGGAGAAATAAGAAAAATAGGAGGAAGAGGAGAAATAAGAGAAATAGGAGGAGGAGGAGGAGGAGGAGGAGAAATAAGAGGTGGAGGAGAAATAGGAGGTGGAGGAGGAGAAATAAGAGGTGGAGGAGGAATAGGAGGAGGAGAAATAAGAGGTAGAGGAAGAATACGAGACAGAAGTAGAGGAGGAATAGGAAATGGAGGTAGAGGAGGAATAGGAGATGGAGGTAGAGGAGGAATAGGAGATGGAGGTAGAGGAGGAATAGGAAACGGAGGTGGAGGAGGAATAGGAGGAGAATAAATAAAAGGTAGAGGAAGAATACGAGACAGAAGTAGAGGAGGAATAGGAAATGGAGGTAGAGGAGGAATAGGAGATGGAGGTAGAGGAGGAATAGGAGATGGAGGTAGAGGAGGAATAGGAAACGGAGGTGGAGGAGGAATAGGAGGAGAATAAATAAAAGGTAGAGGAAGAATACGAGACAGAAGTAGAGGAGGAATAGGAAATGGAGGTAGAGGAGGAATAGGAGATGGAGGTAGAGGAGGAATAGGAAATGGAGGTAGAGGAGGAATAGGAAATGGAGGTAGAGGAGGAATAGGAAATGGAGGTAGAGGAGGAATAGGAAATGGAGGTAGAGGAGGAATAGGAAATGGAGGTAGAGGAGGAATAGGAAACGGAGCTAGAGGAGGAATAGGAAACGGAGCTAGAGGAGGAATAGGAAACGGAGCTAGAGGAGGAATAGGAAACGGAGCTAGAGGAGGAATAGGAAACAGAGCTAGAGGAGGAATAGGAAACCGAGGTAAAGGAGGAATAGGAAACCGAGGTAGAGGAGGAATAGGAAACCGAGGTAGAGGAGGAATAGGAAACCGAGGTAGAGGAGGAATAGGAAACGGAGGCAGAGGAGGAATAGGAAACGGAGGCAGAGGAGGAATAGGAAACGGAGGCAGAGGAGGAATAGGAAACGGAGGCAGAGGAGGAATAGGAAACGGAGGCAGAGGAGGAATAGGAAACGGAGGCAGAGGAGGAATAGGAAACGGAGGCAGAGGAGGAATAGGAAACGGAGGCAGAGGAGGAATAGGAAACGGAGGCAGAGGAGGAATAGGAAACGGAGGCAGAGGAGGAATAGGAAACGGAGGCAGAGGAGGAATAGGAAACGGAGGCAGAGGAGGAATAGGAAACGGAGGCAGAGGAGGAATAGGAACGGAGGCAGAGGAGGAATAGGAAACGGAGGCAGAGGAGGAATAGGAAACGGAGGCAGAGGAGGAATAGGAAACGGAGGCAGAGGAGGAATAGGAAACGGAGGCAGAGGAGGAATAGGAAACGGAGGCAGAGGAGGAATAGGAAACGGAGGCAGAGGAGGAATAGGAAACGGAGGCAGAGGAGGAATAGGAAACGGAGGAGGGAGGAATAGGAAACGGAGCTAGAGGAGGAATAGGAAACGGAGCTAGAGGAGGAATAGGAAACGGAGCTAGAGGAGGAATAGGAAACGGAGCTAGAGGAGGAATAGGAAACGGAGCTAGAGGAGGAATAGGACACGGAGGTAGAGGAGGAATAGGACACGGAGGTAGAGGAGGAATAGGACACGGAGGTAGAGGAGGAATAGACACGGAGGTAGAGGAGGAATAGGACACGGAGGTAGAGGAGGAATAGGACACGGAGGTAGAGGAGGAATAGGACACAGAGGTAGAGGAGGAATAGGAAACGGAGGGAGAGGAGGAATAGGAAACGGAGGGAGAGGAGGAATAGGAAACGGAGGGAGAGGAGGAATAGGAAACGGAGGGAGAGGAGGAATAGGAAACAGAGGGAGAGAAGGAATAGGAAACAGAGGGAGAGGAGGAATAGGAAATGGAGGTAGAGGAGGAATAGGAAATGGAGGTAGAGGAGGAATAGGAAATGGAGGTAGAGGAGGAATAGGAAATGGAGGTAGAGGAGGAATAGGAAATGGAGGTAGAGGAGGAATAGAAATGGAGGTAAAGGAGGAATTGGAGATGGAGGTAGAGGAGGAATGGGAAATGGAGGTAGAGGAGGAATAGGAGATGGAGGTAGAGGAGGAATAGGAAATGGAGGTAGAGGAGGAATAGGAAACGGAGGTAGAGGAGGAATAGGAAACGGAGGTAGAGGAGGAATAGGAGATGGAGGTAGAGGAGAAATAGGAGGAAAAAGAGAAACAGGAAGAGGAAAAATAGGCGGAAGAGGAAAAATAGGATGAGGAAAAATAGGAGGAAGAGGAAAAATAGGCGGAAGAGGAAAAATAGGCGGAAGAGGAAAAATAGGCGGAAGAGGAAAAATAGGCGGAAGAGGAAAAATAGGCGGAAGAGGAAAAATAGGCGGAAGAGGAAAAATAGGCGGAAGAGGAAAAATAGGAGGAAGAGGAAAAATAGGAGGAGAAAAAATAGGAGGAAGAGGAAAAATAGGAGGAAGAGGAAAAATAGGAGGAAGAGGAAAAATAGGAGGAAGAGGAAAAATAGGACGAAGAGGAAAAATAGAAGGAAGAGGAAAAATAGGAGGAGGAAGAGGAAAAATAGGAGGAGGAAGAGGAAAAATAGGAAGAAGAAAGATAGGAGGAGAAATAGGAGGAAGAAGAGGAAAAATAGGAGGAAAAATAGGAGGAGGAGGAGAAATAGTATTCAAATTCAAAATACTTTAGACCTATACCATTTGTTACAATGTTTATTTTTATTACATACAGAGTGATATTACAGTACATATAAATATAAGTTAAATATAGAATCAATGGTAGTACATATAAATCTTGTCTATTCTTATAGTTTGAAACCTGATGTCATTGGTAATTAAAGAGGTATTTCTTTAATTTCTTTTTGAATGTTTTTGACTTCTGAATGTTTCTTATATTACAAGGTAATTGGTTCCAGATCATGGGTCCACGTGTTAGTGTCTGTCGTGCCACTATTGACATAGAGGGAGTTAACCTGTCTTGTTTGGACACAGGTTGTGTTACCTGCAGTTGGAAGTGTTAAAAGCCATTTTTGATAAATACCTTGGGTCATTTTATGAATTAGTATGCGAGTCTCATAGTTGCATTTATATTGTACTTTTAGTCAACTTAGACTGTTTATGTGTAGGATAATGTGGTCATACTTCTTTACGTTAACAAGTGCTACTCTGGCGGCAAAGTTTCATAATTATTCTGAGTTATCTGATTTTGACCTTCGTTTGCTGTACACCATATGTTTGAGCAATAATTAATTATACTGAGAACTAGTGTTTGTATAACAGATATTCTAGTTTCAACAGGAAATCAACAGGAGGAGAAGAAACTGAAGGCAGAGGAGGAGGAGAAATAGGAGCAGGAGGTGGAGGAGGAGGAGGAGGAGGAGGTGGAGGAGGAGGAGGAGGAGGAGGAGGGAGGAGGAGGAGGAGGGAGGAGGAGGAGGAGGAGGAGGAGGAGGAGGAGGAGGAGGAGGAGAAGGAAGGGGAGGAGGAAGAGGAGGAAGGAGAGGAAGGGGAGGAGGAGGAGGAAGGAGAGGAGGAGGAGGAAGGGGAGGAGGAGGAGGAAGGGAGGAGGAGGAGGAAGGGGGAGGAGGAGGAGGAAGAGGAGGAGGAGGAGGAGAAGGAAGGGGGGAAGAGGAAAGGGGAGGAGGAAGGGGGGGGGGAGGAGGAGGAGGAGGAGGAGGAGGAGGTGGAGGAGGAGGAGGTGGAGGAGGAGGAGGAGGAGGAGGTGGAGGAGGTGGAGGAGGAGGAGGAGGAGGAGGTGGAGGAGGAGGAGAGGAGGAGGAGGAGGAGGAGGAGGAGGAGGAGGAGGAGGAGGTGGAGAGGAGGAGGAGGAGGAGGAGAGGAGGAAGAGGAGGAGGAGGAGGAGGAGGAGGAAGAGGAAGAGGAAGAGGAGGAGGAGGAAGAGGAAGAGGAAGAGAGAGGAGGAGGAGGAGGAGGAGGAAGGAGGAGGAGGAGGAGGAGGGGAGGAGGAGGAGGAGGAAGGGAGAGGAGGAGGGAAGGGGAGGAGGAGAGGAAGGAGGAGGAGGAGGAGGGGAAGGGGAGGAGGAGGAGGAGGAGGAGAGGAGGAGGAGGAAGGGGAAGAGGAAGAGGAGAAGGGGAGGAGGAGGAGGAGGAAGGGGAGGAGGAGGAGGAGGAAGGGAGGAGGAGGAGGACGAAGGGGAGGAGGAGGAAGAAGAAGGGGAGGAAGGGGAGAGGAGAGGAGGAAGGGAGAGGAGGAGGAGGAAGGGAGGAGAGGAGGAAGGGGGGGAGAAGGGGGGAGGAGGAAGGGGGAGGGGGGGGAGGAGGAGGAGGGGAGGAGGAGGAGGGGGAAGAAGGGGAGAAAGAGGAGGGGAAGGGAGGAAGAGGAGGGGAAGAGAGGAGAGGGAGGAGGAGGGGAAGAGGGAGAGGAGGAGGAGGGGGAGGAGAGAAGGGGGAAGGGAGGAGGAGGAGAGAGGAGAGGAGGAGAGGAGAAGGGAGGAGAGGAGGAGGAAGGGGAGGAGGAGGAGGAGGAGGAGGAGGAGGAGGAGGAGGAGGAGGAGAAGGAGGGAGGAGGAGGAGGAGGGAGGAGGAGGAGGAGAGGAGGAAGGAGAGAGGAGGAGGAGGAGGAGGAGGAAAACAAGGAAAAGGATAAGGAAAAGAATATGGATAAGGAAAATCAAAAAGAAAAGGTAAAGGGAAACACAAAGGGAAAGACAATTGGAAACGACAATGGAAAAGAAAAGACAATAGGAAAAGAAAAAGGCAAAGGGAAAAGGGAAAAGGAATAGGGAAAGGAGAAAGAAAGGAGATGGTGAAGAGTGAAGAAGAAGAAAGTAATACAGAGGGAGAGAGAAAGGAAAAGGGAGACACAGCCAACAATAATCATTCAATTATTTAAACATAACGTAAAGTTCCATGATAAAAAATTTAACTAATCATATTTATTAGAAATTATAAACAAAACCTGATATAATAACAAAGGAAACATTATGGTATATCATATCAGTGCAGGATCTGTAGTTTGAAGAAATGTAACTTGCATTTACATATACACAAAATGCTTTATTTGGAAAAGATATTCAAACAGCTACCATTCACAGGAATGCAGATTACAACTTTCCTAAGAATATGTTCTCTGTGGTGGAATTAGCAACAGGAAGCAGTGAATTTTGTCATTCTGTTTCATAATGACTCAATGAAAATGCATATCAAACACATGCAAAAATTACTTACATGCGGTATAATGCAGCAAACAAATCACATGCAATCTCTGCATGACCAATTTTCTATTAGTTTGCCATACACATTAGCCCTTAAAAAAATTAAAGTGTATGCAAGAAAGGGCCAAGAAGGTTTTCATTAGCTACCACAAAAAAAGGGTTCCATATTCACAAACCCTGCATATGATGGCTGGCAATCTCACTGCACATAGTCAAAGTTTGCTAATATTTACCAAAGTCCTATATTCAAAGAAACCAATCACAATATTCCCTGGTTTTAAATACTTTGGATAATCTGTTTTATTTTATTCTCTGAATTTTATAGTGTATGAAGTTAGCTTTAAAATATTCCCCTAACCAGAGATAATGCTAATTATCCAGTCCAGATCTTATCTATTGTAGCACAACCAGTATTATATATTTTGGTCAATCACGGTAGTTCCCAAACAGTGGGCCATGAACCTAGTCATTCCAACTAGCGGGTCGTGAACCCAGGCCTTCTAACCAGTAGCTCATGAACCCAGGTGTTCCAACCAGTGGGCTATGAACCCAGGCATTCTAACCA